TCTCAAAAAAAAAAAAAAAAAAAAAAAACCAAAAAACATTCCTTGTGCATTCCTGCCCTGGGAGTATGCCATCTCTGAGAATGAGTCTTCAATTCTCCACCAAGGCTGGTACTGCTTCAGGCATACCCTTTGCTCACAGGGTCTGCACTACCATCCCAGATCCACTCCACCAGTGTCTGCTGCTGGAGAAGATGCCCAGCTTTCTCTGGTTGCCCAGAGAGACAGGGAGTGTCCAAAATATCCCCAGAGCTGTTGTTGCAGGAAGACGAGGCCCAATGGAGAGAAAGAGCACCCAAACACCACATTTATAAGAGGAAAGGCTTTATTCATCAGCTGGGAGCTTATGTCATAGAAGACTTCCAAATGGCCACACTCCCCAACTGGCTTGGTCTTTCTCCTTTTATTGACAAAAAGTTCCACCCCACAGGTACCCTTTCCATTGGCCGGTTTGAATCAAGTGGGAGATGCTAGTCCAGTCCCTACAGAACTACAGGATTTCACAGAACTTGGAAATTTCCAGGTTACAAATTCCTAAGAGTTGAGTCACCATGGAGAGGACCCTGCAGGTGTAACCTCGTGATCTCCTTGAGAAGACCTGTTCTCCCAGACCTCACCCTTCTCGGGTATCCTCTCTCATTCCCCCCTTTTGAAACTCCAATATACTTTTAATTTGGGGTCTCAATATCAGCTTGTTTCTGTAAGTGCTGATATTAATTACCTTTTAGCACTGAGGTTTTAGGGACTGTGACTTTTCTCGGGTTCTCTACTCAGACCTTAATAGTACTGGGGAGGTGGGTAATACACATATAAGTTTTTACTCTTCCCTGTGACATTTTCCCTCCCTTTTCCCAAAGTCCAAAGTCCAATTAAGACAAATCCTTCGAGGAGTTTCCTCAGGCTTCAGCTGTGCGTTGGCCAGCCAGCTCCCAGTATGTGGCTAGAGCAGGGTATGTTGACTGTCTTAAAAGTTACCTTTACTTCCCAAGGGGCAGTGAAGTCCTATTCAGCCAACTGTGATGACTCCAGGTGAGGATTCCTTCCACCTTAACTGCTGTGCATGTGGTCAGGATGATGGTGGAAAGTCCTTTCTACCCTGTTTTCAGGGGGACCAGTTCTAGACCTAGACTTGGTCCCCTTGATCCTCCAGAGAGAAAAGATGTACAGACACAAAAGACTAAACAGAATATGGTTAATTACCCCAGTGGAGAATTTCCTTGCTACTCTTTCTAGGGTTTTTGTCTTTTCAGCTCAGTCTTTCCCAGTTCTTTTAGGAGTTCCTGCTAAATTGCAGAGAATTGACAGAGGCCTCTTTAAACAACACCAGTGGCAAGGCCTGTATCCAATTAAGCTTCGCTTTCTGGCAGAGTTTACTAATTTCTGCTTTAATGGTCCTGTCCATGCACTTTACCCTATCTAAGCTTTGAGGCTTATAAGTTATTCAAAGCTTTAGCTTATTATTTGCACTAGTTCTGTTAAGAACACTAGCCCATTGTCAAATTTAAACCAGAGTGGCAACATAAACCATGGTATGATTTCTCTGGGCAATACCTTTGCTAATTCAGGAGTCCTTTTTCTCCTGGTGGGGAAGGCTTTTATCTATTCCAAGTCTGATAAACCATCACCAGCAAGTACTTGTTCCCTTTAAACCTGGGCATTTCAGTAAAGTCCACCTAGAAATTCTCGAAGGGTGTTGCTCTATACAACTGGATTCCTGGGGGGTACAGTCACATAACTGCTTCCATCAATATACGTATTCCAGTCTTCATCTGTTCAAGGCTGGTAACACAAGTCAGGTCTGCTAGAGTACACATTATCTATGAATTCCACACAGTCATGCTCAGTTTCTCTTCCATTGGCTGGAAGGAGTGTGGCTGGGTCCAAGGTGTTCTTACATTAGAGAGTAAAAAATGTCCTTTAGTGTTCATTAAAGTGACCACAGAGTGGGGTACTTTTACTCTGAGAACTTGCCCTAGAGTCAGCTTATCGGCTTCTTGCGTGAGGAGAGCAGTAGCAGCTAGAGCCCATAAGCAGGGTGGCCATCCTTTTGCCACTCCATCTAACTGCTTAGAGAGGTAGGCAACAGACCTTGGCCAGGACCCAACCAGCTGGATTAACACGCCCACAGCCATCTTATCTCTCTCTGAGACATACAGAGTGAAGGGCTTGGTTAGGTCTGGCAGTCCCAGTGCAGGGGCAGTCATTAGCCTCATCTTTAGCTGGCAGAGGACACGTTCCTGTTCTCTTCCCCAATCTAAGGGCTTTCCTTCCTCTCCTTTAGTTGCCTTATATAGAGGTCTAGCCAAGATGGCAAAGTTGGGGATACAAAGATGACAGAAACTGACTGCGCCTAGGAATTCCCGAACTTGCTTTCGGCTTGTGGAGGTGGGGAGGCAACTAATAACTCATTCCCTCTCCATGCCTAGATTCCTCCCTCCCTGCTGGATAATAAATCCTAGATAAGGTACTCGACGCTGGCAGATCTGGGCCTTTCCCTTAGAAACTTTATAGCCACATACCTCTAGATGTCATAATAGGCAATCTGTACCTTGAGCACAGCCATGGGGGGTTATCTTTCATCCAGACCTGCAGCCACCACTGGGCCAGTTTGGGCCTCATTTCTTTCCTTGGCTGAGTCACAAACAACCTCCACTCCTTCTCCTGAGGCATGGTCAAGGCCAACACCAGACCTGGTTTGGGCAGTTGTAGCTGCATATTTCCTCATGGCCTCTTATGGAACATTTCTGAGGGAGACAAAAGGCTTGTTCAGCTGTGGCTCATATTGCTCCTATGATGTTAATCTTGTGGTCTGATAGAGGGGCTACTGGCTGGGTGACCACCGAGTGTTCAGCCCCAGTATCAATTAGAAAGTCAATGTCCTTGCCCCCAGTCCTTACTTGGACCATGGACTCTCTGAGGGCAGCTGAGTCTGGCCTCCTTCAGTCTAGCAGAGCCTCTCCCACTAAGTTATAGAGGGCTCCCTTCTCTTCAGGTTCGGTGGCCTCTGTCCCAGAACTTTTCACACTTCCTTGCCTCTGGGGACACTCATTCTTTCAATGCCCTGTCTCTCGGCCAGTTGAACAGTGATCCTTTTGCAAGAGGGGACTCCTAGGTCCCCTACTTCCTTGCACTCCTTGACCTTGTCCTCTTTGAAAGGGAGGGGTTCTTCCCCTCTTGCCTTTCAGAGCTGCAGCTATGAGATTGGCCCTTCACTTCATGTGCCTGTCTTTCTCTCTAGGGCTCACTGCTTCCTGATTCACAAAGACCCTTAGTGCTATTTCAAGGAGTTGTGAGGTATTTATACCTGCAAACCCCTCCTGCTTCTGCAGTTTTTGCCATATATCCTCAGCACTTTGGCTAACCAGGGCCATATTAACCATCCTCTAATTCTCAGGGCCCTCAGGGTCAAAGGGAGTGTATATCCAAAACGTTTCACATAACCTTTCACAGAACTGGCCTGGGCTCTCAGTCTTTCCTTGGAGAACCTCATTTACTCAAGCCAAAGTGGTAGTTTTCTGTGTCCCTTTCTCAGCCTCTGCAGCAATGTCTCTCAGTATCAGATCTGCCAATATCTTCAGCACCACTACTCTAGGTTGGGTGGAAAGCACTTTCCCTTTCTGTCCCTGTGTTACTAGCACTGTTGTGACCTGCCCTCCCAACCAGGGTGGTGGGTTCACTACTAGCTGTAGTCAGGTATCTATGTACAGAAACTGCTCAGTGTGACCCCCCCTTTCCAGTAACTCTGTGCCATACCTTAGACACTAGGAATCTCTCTAAACTTCCCTCTGATGGCCATTCAATCCCAAAGTGGGCCATTCCTGTTCACAAAGACTTCTTAGCTTTCTTGGTGACATAGTCACCCCATAGTCACTTACAAATCCCTTAAAGTGCTTCAACATGGTAGTCAGTGGGGTGGGCTTCCCTTGCTTGTTCCCCATTTCTAGTCAAGGTCTCCCTCCCAAGATGCGCATTCACACCACACTCTTTGGCCAGTCTCTTAGTCCCATTTAACAGTTCAATTTACTAAAACAGGTATGACTCATTTTATGAGGTGACAGTACAGACAAGGCTAGGATCTAATACAGGTGGACAACAGCCTCTTTTTTTCCTTTAAATTATTTTTCTCTCTCTCCACTTTCTCTCTTTATTAAAGACAAATTACAGTAGAACCAACTCAGTTGCCAAAGTAAACTGTACCTTCAGTATACTGATTATTTTCATAAAGCGCAGGAAGACTAATTATTAGCCATCTAGACTCTTTGGCTTTGCTGGAACATTTTATAAGGAATTTTCAGGCCTGACTTCCTCAAAAGCCTTTCATGAGCCCAGGTTTCATCTGTTCCATAAGATACTTGTATGCACTGAGTAAATTCCTCTTCTCTTGAGGTCCCCAAGCACATTTCAATTTCCAGACCCATCAGCAAGTGACCTTCATTACTTACCACAGATCAGGAAAGATTACTGATGGGTATCTGGCTAGTTTTCCAAAGGGCTTTCTTTATTGGCCTTATAAAGTCAACCTTAATTCCTTAACACAGTCTAGACACGTCTGGAAAAGGCATTCCAGCCAAAGCCTTGGTAAAATACCAGTGCCTTCATCATGTCCTATAGAACAAAACATATTCTTATTGAACTTATGCAAATAACTGTATTATCAGAAATTGAGAATACTTACAAATGGCTTTCAAATTCCATAGAAATCAAGGAGAGAGAAACATACATGTTTCAAACTCTGCTCATAAGTACATACATTGTTTGAAAAGCTACAAATAGCTCAAAAGGCAGAGAATTATTTTCTTGACTTCTGGAAAACAGAACACAGAAAGAACCAATAATACTTTGAACAGAAAGCTATAAAAAACTAGTCTAGTTCCATGTAACTGATTTCTGTTCTGTTTGAAGTTAGGTTATTCAACTTACAAAGACATCAGGAATTTGCATTTGAGAGAATTCGTCAGCCTCTCTTAATATTTCTTTTTCTTTTTAGGAAAAAGTTTGGACTCAGCCAGTTACATTAAAAAAAAAAACCACTTTCTTTTTTAGATGAATTAAAATTATTACTGACAATATAAGTTAGGACAGACCAATGTCTTAAATGTTAGGACAGGCCAATGTTTTACAGTATTGGAAGACATATATAACCTTAACCCATAAAAAATTAATCACCATTTCATACGTGACAATGTTTCTTATACATTTTTAATAAATCAAATAAGTTTAATTTGTTTTTCTATGCCTTTCAGGGGTCTTAATATTTCAAAAAGACCAAATGTAGAGTTGTGCTTTTTGTTTTCTGGACCGAGTTCAAACCTGCCAGTCTCGGTGCATGTGGCTGGCACTGCAACCACTGGACTATGGGCACCAAGCCCCAAATTTAGAGTTTCAATTTTGGAAGGTTTGTCAAATATCAAAGGCCTTAAAACATTGGTTCAAATAAGATTACATGCTGAAAGATTTTAAAGGAAATACATAGTCAATTGGATCACATGTAAATTCTTTCATAAATTCCCTTTTATGAGCTTCACTAACCTGCACAGACAATCTACAAACATTCTAAACCTTCTTTAACTTTGCCCTGCCTTTCACTTTCTTATACAACCATTCTGTTTCAGGACATAATTTATCACACAAGATTCTTTCTTTACACCATGCCATTCTCCTTTCTGTCTAATTTCTCTTACTTTCAAAAACTCACTTCCCACAAAATAAGATCTCAGTTCACTATGAAGTCACCCATTCACTCAGTCAAACTGATAATTAGCATGTTTAAAAAGCCAGAATCCTATCTTTTGACAAAGACTCAGTTTCTCCAACAATTTAAACAACCAAATGATTACATTTTACAAATGAGAGGTATTTCATGAGATATAACATTGATATAGGATTTTCCCACTCAGGGATGGACAGGGAACCCCCATTTTGAGGGCTCAGGTGAGCTCAGATATCAGACTCCCATCTCCAGGTACAAACCCTCTCAGCCCCAGCAAGGTCATGAACAAGCAGCCTGAAACCTTTTGGCTGGCTCCACCCGGACTAAGGAGCACACACCCTAATTCTCTCCCCAGACAAAAACTGCTGCAAAGACCTAATAAACTTGCCCAAGGTGAGGGGATGCATTCATTCATTTGCCAGAACACCTATTCAGTTTGTAAAGGTATTTTTCCATCTACTAGTCCTGGCCAAAATATCTCTCAGGGCAACTATTTACCCCTAGACAAAGGACTCATACAGGAAACCTCTGACCTGTGCCTCCTCCCCCCTTCCAGCGGCTGTCTGCTCTGGAGCCCTGTTGCTGATATTGATACAGCCCCACAAAACACGAGATTTATACTTCCTCCTGCAGATTTTCAAGGACCATCCAGAGCTCACCAGAATGCCTGAACCACAACACTTTCCAAGGCACAGCCCCTCTGCCAATAACTCTGGTACTCCACTTCATGTGCATGCCCTTCAGTCCAACAAAATCCCATTTTATCACTGATCTGTGGCCCACAGGCTCAATTCTCAAATTCCTGAGACCAAAGAATCACTGAAGAAATTCCAGTGACAAAACTACAAAATCCTTTCTAATGTCTTTTCATTTTGCCCCGAGATGGACTTAGCCATGTTGCCACCGCCAAGGACAGAAAGCAGAAAACCTGAACTTCCAGTTTCTCTCAGAATATCCAGAGGGCAAAGTTGGAGTAGGCAAGAAGGGCACACTCACACATTCATTTCACCCCATGAATGGGGGGGGGGACAAAACCCCACCTATTATTACCCATCTCAGTCATTCACCAAGCACTCACATGCACACAATCCTAAAGCATTTCTTAACCTGGGCAGCCTCAATTTCTCGCTCGAGCTGCCACTTAGCCATAGGAGGCAAACCAATACTCCCCTAAGGGCCTGTGATGGGACATCCAACTCCACTCTCAGAGTTCTCTCAGTCACATCACATCCACACACTCTCACACACCTCTCAACAGACCTGCTGGCAATCTAATGCCCAAGGAGGTGATCAGGCTCCTCTTCCACTAAAACTGTAATGGGCCCCAGTGGATCCTACCTTGCCTTAGATATCTCCCTGTGTAGGTTGTAGGTACCTGTCCCTGCATGCCAGTTCCTCCCAGTGTTTGACTCCTTGAAGACCCATCAATGGGGTCCTTTCTCAGCCCAGTCAAGGCATCCACACAGGGAAGCCAAACTGCCTCCCTGGTGCACTCAGTGGTTCACATCACCCAGGCGGATTAGGGGCCCCCACATGGGTGTCCAGAGGATTCATGGCAACTACCAGGTGCATGTTCTCTCCAAGGGTGATCTCGCTTCCTGGTCAGGGAATGAAAAATGTTGCAGGAAGATGAGGCCCAACAGAGAGAAAGAGCACCCAAACACCATGTTTATAAGAGGAAGGGCTTTATTCATTGGCTGGGAGCTTATGGCATAGAAGATTTCCAAATGGCCGCACTCCCCAGCTGGCTTGGTCTTTCCCTTTTTATTGACAGTCAAAAAGTTCCAGTCTACAGGTACCCTTTCCATTGGCCAGTTTGAATCAAGCGGGAGATGCTAGTCCAGTTCCTACAGAACTACAGGATTTCACAGAACTTGGAAATTTCCAGGTTACAAATTCCTAAGAGTTGAGTCACCATGGAGAAGACCCAGCAGGTGTAACCTCATGATCTTGAGAAGACCTGTTCTCCCAGACCTCACCCGTCTCAGGTATCCTCTCTCACTGTAAACCTTATTTTACCTGCTGCTGCTCTGTGCCGGGGGTACCACCTCTCCCTTTCTGCACAGTTTCTTCAGTCCACCATTTTCTCCTTACCCCCATGCCACAGAATCAGCACAGACCTGCAACAGCATGTGCCCTGTCCACACCTCTCATGAAAATGCCCAAGAATCTGGACTCCATGGGGGACAGGTTTCCAGACCTTGTAGTGAGATTGGTGGGGAGTGCTGGGAGTTCAGAACTGCAGGTAGAGAATATATAGTTTTATGCCTGGCAAGAGAGTGCCATGGCACCCTAGTAGGAGAAGGAGGTCCAGTTTTTAGAGGGTCTCTCCCATGGGATAAAATGGGAGGACATTTAGGCTCTGCTCACTTGTTTGTAGAAAGTATACTGCAAGCCGTTCTCAAGGGGGAGGGGACTCCTTTCCACTTGGCAATGGCTTTTGTATCCTTGGGGTCACAGCTTGCCTCAGCAGGGTTGATGTGCATTCTTCAATCTTCTCTCGGCTCATCTCCAAATCATCAGCTTCCTTGCTAAACTTCTGTCCTTTAACTCTCCTTCTGGATGAGAGCTGCTGTGGAAAGCTGGCTCCAGTTGACCATATTCCTCCATCCCCCCCCACCCAAGTCCATTAATTCTTTATAAGTAAAGTCTTCTGCAGTAGCTGCCTTAGGGGAGTTCCTCTGTTTTGTTTTTTCATGGTTTCTGAATTTTCTGTTGGTTTCTTCTCATGTGTTCTTTCTTCTTGTTCACTTCCTTGTCCTCCATTTTCCTTCTAACTGCCTCCTTTGTTTCAAACAGAAGTCCTTGCTCTTGATGACAGTATGCTGCAATATGTTGCTGGGACACCAGATGGTGTGGTAGCTTTTTTAGGAGACAGAAAGCATAGCCAGCAACCTCTATGGTCCTTATTCCAAACTTACTTGTCTTTGGTGATACCTGATTGTTTCTTTAGCATTCAAACCCTGCCAGGTTGGAATCTTAAAACTCACAAGACTCCATCAGGGGCAGGCCTCACAGGGCCCCCTGATGCAAGTTCTGGAGTGTGGGACTCATTCAGCCTGTCCTAAGAGTGGAGTTTTGATTCAAGAAGGTGGAATTAAGATGGCCAAGCTTTAGGACCCTGCTTAGACCTTCTCACGACCTTCCCACAATGGCAGTCCCCTGGCCACCAAGAAGACCTTCCCAGTATGGCCTTGCCAGCTACCACATCTATAGTAAATCCACTCCAAACGGCATTCAAATCTGGTTGCTATATATGTTCAAGTCTTCCCACTATTCCAAGCTTTCCATTGAACACACAGCTTCTCCCAAGAACTGAAAATTCCAGAAAGGCTTCCTCCCATGCCAAACCTCTTTGGGTGGCCAGTCAATCCCAGCCAGTTCCAATTATGTGCCTAATTCATCAGATTTCCAGCGCTCTGGATCATACAATGTATCTACCGCACCACCTCCTTGCTGTGCTCCCTGAGCTTTGACTCTGGGTAATGTCCTTGTCTCAGGTATGGCTGTGTTCTCTCTTTTTCCTCAGTCATTCTAGGAGAGGTAAACTGAACCATCCTTCTGGTTTGCCATCTTGCTCCGCCCTCTCACCTAGGTGTTGTAAAGACTTTAACCTCAGTGAAATTACCTACGTTCTTCAAGTTCACATAGCTGGTAGGGTTTGGTATTTTCCAAGATGAATTTGGGTCCCAACTGTATCTGATGCTTAACACCTTCTTTTTTCACTGTACTCTATTCCAGTTGTGAGCTGAATTCAGATCTCCCAGCACCCCAGCCCAGCTGCTTGGATCAGAGTAACTCCCAATTAGGGCACAAAGGAGATTGCCTTCATATCACTGGTTTCCCTGTCCCAAAGGTTTTCCATTCTGGCTGCTCTTCTTGGCCAAGGATGAGGTAGACTGTGGATTTCATATCATCCGGAGGAGCCATTAAGGATTGACGCAGGCTCGGCGCCTATAGCTCAACCGGCTAAGGCGCCAGCCACGTACACCTAAGGTGGCGGGTTCGAATCCCCAGCCCGGACCCGCCACACAACAATGATGGCTGCAACCAAAAAATAGCCGGGGCGTTGTGGCGGGCGCCTGTGGTCCCAG